ATCTCTCAACGTGTGGGGGCGTTTTGCAAATTATCTCGAAAAAAAAATGTCTACCGGTCGTGCAAAAAGCAGATAAAACGCCTTCAAAATCGGGCCTTACCAGACTCACCTTCCCCGACTTGTAGGAGCATGCAAAAAAAAAAAAAAAAAGACCCTGCCCAACCCCGTGATTCTTGTAACCCACGTACATTAACTTTCAACCCCTAGGCACAATTTATGCTCCGTACCAAGGACCACCTCATCCTCACCAATATACCCGAAGACACAAAGCGGCAAAAGACTAGGGGGAAGAGTCGAGCCCACAGGCTGGGCACACACTCATACTTGTGTTGGCTAAAGACCCTACTAAGAGTATACTCACACTGGGAGCTATAATCTCAAATTCCCCCCCCAAAAGGATAAAAGGTCGGTCACACAAATTTGTCCTAAATGTACTATTAGTGTGCCCATTTGTTAGCGGCCTATGTAGCCTCGGGCAAGGGAATTTGTGGTCACCTCTGAAGGTGTCCGCAAATGCCCTATTTATTTTTTTGCATTTTCTTTTGAAAATTGATGAAAATTCATTCACAAAAGTTATTGGACATTTTTTTGGATGGCGCCGTGTGACCAGCAAGTACCAAATCGCCATTTCTCTAGACGGGCACGACCATGTTTTATCCGAAAAGGTATAGTAGTGCGACCCGAACCATGCCGAAAAGAGATAATTGGTAAAAAACAGCCACGCCAAAACCTTTTCGGGTTTGGGCGCTCAAAGTTCGACCATTTAGTACTACCGGCCCAATGTTTTCTGTGTGGGGTACTACAGGCCCATCCGTCTCTCTAAGGGCCCTACCGGATCATTAACCTGACGCATAAACAGCGTCGGATTCATTTTGATGTAGAAGAGGTCGAGGGTGGTACCGTTGAAGGATAGAATTGTCTACTGCGTAGGCGCGGGGAATGCAACCCTAAGGTAGTCAAAACAATGATGCGAAGAGGGAGCAAAATGGAGAGAGAGAAAGGGGGAGAGAGAGAGAGAGAGAGAGAGAGAGAGAGAGAGAGAGAGAGAGAGAGAGAGAGAGACTGAATGGCAAAATTAAAATATGGATCCAAATGTGGCCGCAATTTATTTCACAATTGGAATAATTTTTAAAAATCTATTTAACGTTTTTCCTGGAAAGATCACAACAAAATCTACGAGTACTCAAATTTTCAAGTTTTTTCATGCACTCTTCTGAGCGAGAAAACTCACTGAATTTGAAGTACTTTTTCAGTTGGCCCACACATGCCTGAGTGGCAAAAATGAAAAATTTGTCGAATCGTCGCAACGTTTATTTCACGGTTTAAATGATTTTTTTAAAATGTTCTAATATTTTTATAGAAAGAACACGACCTCATCTATGAATAATCAAAATTTCAGATTTTTCTTCGATTTCCTCCGAGCACAGAAAATCGTTAGTTGCCCCTTGCAAAATGTCTGTTTCGTTGCGCCTAACCTCCCTGTTTTGAAAAGACGGCTTCAACGCCTATGCCTGAGGGCCCTTTTGCAGTTCACATGCCCTTACTTCTTTTTAGGGTCCACTTCCACCCGAGGACCGGTCCTTCCTTTTTCCAAAAGTCCCGGTTCTACAAGAGTTAATTGTCGGTAGTCCGCAATAACTTGAAGGACCGGTCCCCCCAATTCCCCCCCCCCCTAAAAACCCACTTGCAAAATGCAACACCTTGACACAGACGCCGAAGCCCACTATACCGCAGCTTTAGGGCTGCGAAGTTTGGGCGCCCAAAACGTTTCTACCAATTGTCTACCGCGTGGGCGCGGGGAACGCAGCCCTAAGGTAGCCAAATCAATGAGACTAAGAGCT